AATTTCCAAGGCCAACTCTTCAGACAGGGATTGGACTGGACTACGGGACATAAAGTGACACTTGTGAAGAATATGCCTCTTAGTCAAGTAGATACAAGACACCAAAGGGGCAGCTTCTGTCCAGAGGGGAGATGGGAAGGCAGAGAGAGTTAGGAGCTGGTTGAATGTTCATGGGGAATTGGGAGGGAGGGGAGGAGTGTGCTGTCGCAGGATGGGGTGAGCAGTTGGGGTCTCATAACAATGTATGTAAAAAACAATTTGTATGGGAGACTAACTTGAAATGTAAATTTCATTTAATTACAACAATAAAAAAATTTACAAACAAAAAAATGAGTTATCTTTTTCTGATTTATTTATAGTTCTTTATGTATTTTAGATACAAGCCCTTTGCTGGGTCAATGTATTGCAATTATCTTCTACTTCGTGGTTTGCCTTTTCATTCTCTTAATGGTATCTTCTGATGAACATTTTTAATTTAAATGAAATCCAATTTATCAGCCTTCTCCAATAAAGTTAGTTCTTTTTCTATCCAATTAAAAAATAAACAAAAAACCTTTGCCTATCCCAAGATCATGAAGATACTGTGTGTGTGTGTGAAGACAGTTATTTTACCACTCACATTTAGGTCTACTATCCATCTGAAATTGGTTTTTACGCATGATGTGAAACAGGGGTCGAGTTTCTTTTTATCTCCACACAGATGTTCATTTGACTCACAATCATTTATTGAAAAGACTCTCCTTTCCCCGCCGCACTGCAGTAGCACATATGTTGTAAATCAGGTGAATAATTCATTATGTAGGTCTGTTTCTAGTGTTTCTATTCTGTTCCCTTAGTCTATCTGCCTATCCTGTGTCAATACCAGGGCTTCCAAGAGACTCATTCTGGTTCTAACCCCTGCTGAGAATTTGCATTTCTAACACGTTCCCAGGTGAGGCTAATCCTGCTGGTTAGGGACCAATTCTGAGAACCATTAGTTGAGCAGTGGGTCTCAAAATTTATTATACATAAGAATCACCTGGGGATCTTGTTAAGCTGTAGATTCTGATTCAGTATATCTGGGGTGGAACTGCAAATTCTCAGCAGGAGTTCGAACTGGAATGAACCAGTTCGAAGCCCTGGTCAACACACTATCAGGAAATTAACGTTTATATATTATTAAATAAACTACAGGCTCTATTTGAATTTCATCAGTTTTTCCATTAATATCCCTTTCCAATCCAGGACCCCACCTTGTATTCAGTTGTTATGTCTCCTAAATCTTCTCTAATCTGTGACAGTTCCAGTCTTTCCTGTCTTTCAAGCCTTTGACATAGTAACTAGGATCACTCAGTTAAGGCAGTGCTTACCGGGTTTCTCCACTGTAAACTTATTATTTCCTCCTTTGTAATTAATAAATATTTTGGGATAGATATGTAGAAATTGCAAATATCCTGTTTTTTTTCTCAAGCTTTTGCCCACTTATTTTAGCACCCATCTTGCTTGCAACAATTATTTACTACTGATGTTTACCTAATGCTGGTTTTCTATTTTCCTAATTCCTTGTACATTTATTAACTGAAATTCTTATGTAAGGAAGAGATGTCCCTTCTCCTCCACTTATTTATCCAATTATTTATTTATACCAGTAGGGACATATTTATTTCAGTCTGTGGGTTATAATCCAATATGATCATTACTTATTTTGTTGCTCAAAATTGATCTAGCTTTGTCCTTTAGGAACTCCTTCAGGTTAACTTCTAAGTCCTTTCAACATGCCCCTATTCTTTTCCAAGTATTTCCTTCCTTACTGGCACTACAAGATGTTCCAAGCTCACATTTTCCCCGCCCCAGCCCTGAAACCAAACACTTCTTCCAAGAAGCGCTATTTCTTTTTAATGGAGAATAGTACTTACAAATCAAGAGCTGGACAATAGATAAATAATCTAGGCACTGTTTTATTGTACTGTAGCTTTATACATCTGGTAGTATAAGTCCTCAAGCTTTGTTCTTCTTAATGACTGCCTTGGCTATTTTTGGTCCTCTGCATTTCCATATAAATTTCCTGAGCCTGTTAATTTCCACACACACACCCACACACACACACACACACACACCCACACACACACACCCACACACCCTGTTGGAATTTTTACTGAGATTGCATGGAATTTATACATCAACTGAGACAGAACTGACATTTTTGCAAGACTGAGTTTTCTAATGCATAAACATGGTATAATCCTTTACTTAACTTAGATTTAATTTCTCTCTATACATTTCTCTGTAGAGGTCTTTAATATCTTTCTTAGATTTATTCCTAGGTATTTAATATTTTTTGATGCTACTATAAATGATATTTAAGTATTTTTTATTTTCTAATTGTTTGTGGCTACTACATAGGAAAAAAAAATTTTGTACACTGACCCTGTATCTAGTGACTTTGCTAAGTTCACTTATTAATTCTAAATAGTTTATCTGTAGACGCTTAGATTTTTTAGATGTGCACAATCATGTCTGCAAATGATAGTTTAATTTTTGACTTTGTAGTCTTTATATATTTTACATCTGTATTCTTTCTTTTCTTTTATTCTTTCATGTATTTACATTTTTCTTCTCTCTTTTTTTTTTTTTTTGCACTGGCTACGACCTCCAGTACATGCTAAATAGAAGTGGTGACAACGTGAATACCTTTATCTCATTTCCAATCTCAGGAGGAAAGCTATCAGTATGTCACTATTAAGTATGGCATTTTCTCTAGGTTCTTTGTAGATACCCTTGATCAGATAAAGAAGTCCTATTCTTGGTTTGTAGAGTTTTTT